TATATATATATATATATATATATATGTGTGTGTGTGTGTGTGTGTGTGTGTGCGTGTATGAATAAATCAGTTCTGACTTGATTTTAAAAGCCCCGTTGAGCATGAAATATGTACGATTGTTAATTTATTAATAAATATAAAAATAATCGCTTTTCAGAATTTTAGTTTTGAATAATATAGTTATAATTTAATATCTTACTATAGATGAGTATAGAATAGGTTGGGAACAGCTATATAAAATATAGCTGTTCCCAACCTATTCGGGGTAAAAATAATTATTAATCCATAAGAAATAAGAATTTACCACTATCACATGAACATTTTTTAAAATTTTTCGATATTATATCTAATAGATTGTTTCCCTACCTCAAAGAAATTTTTTCATTAATGTATAAAAAAATGTCGGTGAAGCTAAAATTTCATACGAAGTCACATCCTATCTTTCTTCATTTAATCGTTTCTCCTACGTTCATATTCGTTCTTGGTTCGTAATATCCTTTTCATAATGTCAGTAAAGCTTTTATTTAATGAAAGTCATCGATCACCGAACAAAATGAAAGAGTTGAAATCAGTATATTTGTAACAATTATTAAACTCCTAATTTATTTTCTACTTTCAATTCCCAAAGGGAAAGCAGAATATCATTAATCTTCCTATGTTTACAGCGGTAACATGATACTATTGATTATTTTTGCAAATGGGAAAATCAATTTTTTTTCTTTGAATACTAACGTCGGAAAAATTCTAAAAAGAAGTACTACATTCTTTCAAAAAATATAAATAAAATTTAATGGGACGTAAATTGTTAGAAAGTATTAAATTTATCCTTTTCCCCTCTTAATGAGAGTTTCGAAAAAAGCTTTTTTTGATTTATGAGAAAAGAGCTTTATGACGGGAATAGTAAAACAGTTTTAAATAGTGTTAAAACTGAACAACTTTAGTCAGAAAGTGTTTCTTAAAATCATCTTTCATAAATCTTCATTGGGAAGATCCAGCTTCTTTAGAAGTGAGGATCTTTCTCGTGCAATTTATTAAGTAACTGAGGCTGCAAGAAATACTGTAAAGCAAAAGCATTATTAATTTTCTTGATAAATTAACTCGAAAAAAGTTAAAGCTTCAATTTATTTCGCTAAAATACTTTTGGATTTTTATCTTTAATGAATGAATAAAAGTTATATCTGGCCAAAATGATGAATAAATGGAATTTTCACGCTTTAAGTCTAAATATAGTTAAACATTTTACGTGCACATTTTTTATTTTGTAAATCTGGCTGGCGACGTGGGATAATTTTTTATCACGGAAATTTTTAGTATCTTATAGGAAGATTAGATATAGGCATATTAGATTTTTCATAGTATTTTTTAGAATTAATTTTTAATAATATTCTCTATGCAACTCTAACTTTTAACTTAAAATTCCCAACTTTGCGATTTCTAAGATGGTTGTTCACAATAAGTTACAACATGTATTGTAAACAAAACATGTTAAAAAAATTTTTTTAAATTACTTTGCTGGAATTTTTGTTTTAAAATTAAAGTAAAATTCAACCTGTCATCCATCCAATTAATCGTAAAGTTTGTGGTAAAGAACATTTTTTTGCCTTTGTGGATGTGAAAACGTTTACAACAAGTATGGTTAAAAAACCATGAACACAAAAATATATGGCTTTTTAACCATTTACAACTAGCATAGTTTCAAAGCCTTGAAAAAGAAATTGAACTGAGCATTCGGGATAGGCTTTTTGTTAGGTAATAGACATTGGAGTTAGGTTGCAATTGCGTTGAGTTTTATCAACAAAAATGTAGTTTAATTAGTTTATCTGGTTGTTTCAGTTAGCGTAAGATATGTGAAAGTCTAGACTTTTTTGTGTAAAACAGATTTATGGTTGCCACCCTCTATGTGGAAATGAAAGTATCGTATTCTAATAGTCCAGGGTCACAAATTGGGGATTTCCGAACGCAGGAATACTGTCATTCTTCATATGTTGAAGGGAAAGGAGGATATTGACAGGTTATCCCTCTCAGCTATAACATTCACCCAGCTTCAATGAACAAAGTAGTTTTATTAGGGGAGGCCTAGATGGTGAGATAAAATTCTTATTATTTAACCGTATTAGGTGAAAGCGGTTAATAAACGTTTTTTTTCAAAGTTAACAGTTTGAATACCATCTTATTTATGGTTATTTGACTATTTTGTTTGTATAGGGTAAAATTACAATTTTCCAAGAAATTTCTAACAGTTTACTGTGTAAAACTAATTGCTGTATTTAATTTAATCGAAGAATCAAATATCTATAAATGACTAAAATTTATATTGCAAACGCAATGTTAAATTTTATTTTTTGCTAAACTGAAAATTTTCTCACAATTTATTACGAATGGGTACCCTTTAAGAATTTAATAGTTGCTTATTACACCTGACCAGGATAGTCCAGATAAAGGAGCTTAATTAAAAATAGCCAAGAACTTAATATTCTCGAATAAATATGTTAACTTATTTCATTTCTAAATGTAAATTTAAAAATCTTTTTGAAGATGAAAATAACCATCAGTTTTCCGATGGAAAACTAATTTTTTAAGAAAAAATAAAAGTTTTAGGTAACTATTTATGTGTTAATCCCAAAATTAAACTTTTTTCTTCAACTTAGCGCTGAAAAAGCAAATCAAATGGGTTTAAGGTTATAGATTGGGCTAAAGTTTGAAAATAGACTTAAAGTCGATTGTAAAT